CCGACCTTGTGGTTCAGTGCTTTATCCCACAGTGCGACACCAGAACGTCTGTGGCTAGCAGTGTGGCTCAATTTGACAAACTCCATTGAGGACCTATGCAGATAGGCACTAGGACAAATGTGGGGAAAACTGGACCTTTCTTTATCTGATGTCACCCTTGTCCCATCCTAGGCACACAGTCCCAGGAGAGAGGGGAACTCTAACTGGCCCAGGCTTTTCCTGTTAAAAAGCCTTTAGGGTGAACGGTCCCCTTTCCCTTCTCTCTTGGTGGTCCTACTCTGCACATACATGTCCCATCACTCTCTGTGCTGGGCACTGACCTGTGGTTGGACTCAGACAGGGTTTACGTTCTCAGCAGATGTCATATAAGGAGGTTTCCCTTCCTTTCCTGCTGGGCAGCCCCCTGTCTCCCCCATCACACCCAGCTCTGCCTCAGTCCCAGATAAACCTGCCAGCCAGCCTTCCAGGTTCCTGTCCTGGTTCCCCTCCTGATGGCCAGGAGCTGGCCCAAATCATGCTGAGATCCACTCCAGTCTCCAGCCACCCCTATTGATGTGGGTGCTCTGTGACTTGTCCTCTCCCAGGATCCAGATGACAGATGGGACACAGCTCTCTGCTTTCATTTTATTCTCAAACATCAGAGCTGCTTCATACGCTCTGTCTCCCCATCCCCACTCGGGCAGAGGACCTAGTCCTCTTCCTTTCTCTTCCCCTCTCTCTCCTCTGGAGGCTGTGCTGCTCCTGCTGTTGCTGTTGTTAAGAGCTGTTGAGTTGGTTCCAAGTCATAGCAACCCTGCCTAGGGCTGCTGAGGAGCAGTTGGTCAATATGAAACACTGACTCCTACAATGCCCTACTAGGACCCCAGCAACTATGCTACTTCCCTACATGTATTCTGTACTGTGGCTTTCAGTCAATAACTGTGAGCTGACCTGACCAGGCTTTACCCGTGATAGAGAAAGTTTCAGGAACTTATAATATCCCATTCTTTCTTAAGAAACACTGGCTTTCACCAGGCACAGTTCAAAGGGCTTTACATTTATTTATTCTTCTAAGTGTAAAAATAATCTTATGAAGTAGATTATTATTTCCAATTTATAGGCCCAAACTAAGGCACAGAGAAAACTTATCATTGTATAAGCAGGTCATCTGAGCTTGTATCCACTAGCTTCTCTGCTGATGTGGGGTCGAGCCCTAGGATCAGCTGTGAGGAGCCTCAGAATTCATGGTAAGGAGACTGGACTTGAGGCCTCACAAGGCTACTGTTTAGAAATAGGCAGTCAAGGTGGTTTGTCTCAGTTAACACCGTAACTTTGCCTACAAACTTTTTTTTTTTAAACAAAATCATAGAAATCATTTTGTTTATTAAACAAAAATATCAAAATGTGAAGCTATTGTTTCTCAACACATCTTTAGTCTAGGTCTATATACTTTTTTTAAAAAAACGTTTAATGTGAATTGAGTGATCATTTACATGGGAGAACATCGGTTTTGCACTCAACCTATCGTATTTTGTTTCATTGCTATGATTGCAATCCCCTCCATGAATCATCATTTACCAGCATTTGCTTCTATTCCCTCTGGTTTTTTTGTTTGTTTGTTTGTTTTTGATGTACACAAAAACACTCAGGAATATATAATTCCTCCTGTCCACCAGCACACAGCCTTTCTCTTTCCATGAGTCTAGAGCACTCAGCTGCTCTATCTCTCCATGCCATCCCCTCTGCCTCCATCTTTGGTGCCGCTGCTTCTCTGGTTAGGGTCCCACATTCCACTCATGCTCTACTTTCTTGATTGTCCTAGGGTCCTCTATTCCCTTGAAGGGCACTTCACTTATTAGCTCTTCCCTAGGATTGGTACCTTCTTCATGCACAGAGGGTGACAGTATCCATTAGACCCTTAAGCCATACCAAGAAGTCACTTGTCTCAAATACCTTGGGTGTCTACCAGTTCATCTTTGGTGATTTGATTTTCTGTGTTAACGCTCAGGTTCCCCTAGGTGTCTACTCACTGATTATGAGTAGGAATTACTGTTGCTCAGATAGAGAGTCTAAACATGAAGTTTTATGGCCTTGTCCTGCGATGACAGAGAGGGTTTGGGGAGGTGCAGCTTGGCTGTGCTGCCTTCACAGAGGTTAGTGAGCAACCTCCAGGCTCCCATGTATGCAGGGAGGGAGTGCTCAGCCATTTCAGGCAGCTCTCCTTGGGTGGTAGTGTTGTCGCTAAGTGCTGTCAAATCTGTTCCAACTCATAGTGGCCCTGCATGGGGTTTCCAGAAGCTCTGGAGTCGGGCTGCTAAACTCAGGGTCAGCAGTTTGAAACTACCAGCCATTCCGCAGGTGAAAGATGAGGCGTTCTGCTCCTGTAAAGATTTTTAGCCTCAGAAACCCTATGCAGGGTCGCTACGGTTGAAGTGGTCTGTTTGGCTGGAGATTTCTATGAGTTGGAACTGACTCCACTGCACACCACCACCACCTTAGTTAGGGTTTCTGAGGAGCAGCTGGTGGGTTTGAACTGCCAACCTTGACTCAAATAGTCTAAATAGTTTTATTCTTCCAATGAGAATATTTTAACCTTGGTCACCTGCTGCTCTGTCTGTCCTGGGTGCTGGGCATACATGAAGTAAAAAACGCAGTAATGGCTTAGCTGAGAATCCATGAAAGATACAGAGATCTCCAGCTGAGCAGACCACTGGTGCTGTTGTTCTTGTTGTTGGTTGTCTTCTAGTTAGCTCCGATTCGTGGCAACCTTATTTACAACAGAATGATTTGTTGCCTGACTCTGATCATCTTCGTGACCATTGATTGGTTTGCTTGAGCCCACTCTTGTGGTTATTGTGTCAGCCCATCTTAGTGAGGGTTTCCCTCATTTTCATTGGCCCTCTACTTAACCAAGCATAAAGTTCTTTTTCAGTGATTGTTCTTTCCTGATGTTGTGTACAAAGTAAATAAGTCAAAGTCTTGCCATCCTTGCTCCTAAGGAACATCCTGGTTGTACTTATGATTGATTTATTTGTTTTTATGGAGTCCTGGTGTGGGGATGTGGGTTTGTGCGCTAGACTGGATCAGACCATGCCCCCTGATGGTGACTTGAATCATACCCTCTAGTAAGATGGGAACATCCTTAATCCTTAGTTCCATTGCAATCTTTACTCCTCGTTGTTGTTGTGAAATACCGTCGAGTTGGTTCCAATTCATATTGACCCTCTATAAGGTTTCCAAGGAGTGGCTGGTCGGTTTGAGCTGCCAACGTTTTGGTTAGCATCCAATGCTTACCCTACAGTGCCATACCAGGACTCCCCCACCTTAATCTTTACTGCTTAGCAACTCATTTCTAAATGAGTCCATGATCACAGGCATAGAGGTAGAAACAAAGCACATCCTTTGGATCTGGGGTTCATGTGCTGACAATCTCCTAGACCCAGGAGAAAATTGATACCAAGACACATGGAGATTTCCAGGGAACAGTGGGTCCACAGATGGTGAAAGGAGTTGGACATTTTTCCAGAGCCAACAAAGAGAGAAAGACTTCCTCTAGAGCTGGCTTGCTGAATTTGGACTTTTTACCTCTTAAACTTGGAAAGAATACATTTATCTTTGTTATATAGACAGATGACTAAGACAACGTAAATGAATGCCCCAGCAGTTTCACTCCTAGTTATATACCTAGATGACTTGAAAGCAGGGGTCCAAATAAGCACGTGTGCAGCAATGATAACAGAAGCATCATTCACAATAGCTAAAATGCTATTCAACCCAAGTGCCCACCAACAGATGAATTGATACATAAAATGTGATATAGCCACACAATGGATATATTATTAAAAAAAATAAACAAGTTCTGATACATGCTAGGACATGGATAGCTTTAAAAACATGCTGAGTGAAGTAAATGAAATACAAATGGATACATACTATGTGATTTCACCTGTATGAAATATTTAGAATAGTCAAATATGTAGAGACTTTTTACTAGTGGTTACCAGGGGCAAATGGGAGGGAGAATGGAGCAATTATAACGTAAAAGACATTGAGTTTCTCTTAAGAACGATGAAAAATTTGTAAATGGATACTGGTGATGGTTGTGTAATACAGTAAATGTAATTAATGTCACTGAATTGTACACGTAAAAATGGTAGAAATGGCAAATGTTTCGTTATATATATATATTGGACCACAATTAAAAACAAAAGACTTAAGATCTAATAGTGGGTCAAGAGTGCTGGTGCAGTGCTGCAGGATGATCTATACCGGATCACACTGTCAGTCTGTACTGCAAGGATGACATTCAAACTCACCCATCACTGTGAATTGGAATAGACTCAATGGCACCTAACAACAACAACAGTAATGGGGCTAAAACTTACTGCCATTGTCAAGTACTGTAGGAAGTAATATTTCAAAACCACCAGCAACAACTATGATATGGTTTGTGTTAGTGACAGATACAAGTACTAGCCTTGCACTGAGATCCGTGACCTATATTCATGCTTAGGAAAATGCCACATTCCAGTTAGAGGCTCAAGCCAATAGAGGGGTCTTTTTTCCTAACCATCTGTCCATATTTTGGTTCCAGGGAAGAATTCCTGAGGAGGGCGTTGGTAGTCCAGGCAGAGTTGGTGGTGGCCACAAGATGGAGCAGACAGCACAGAGGCTAGGAAGGGTGGAGTCAGTAGATGGTTCAGATGTTGGGGTAATGGTGAGTCTGGATGTAAAGTCTGGATGTTGTTGTTAAGCAAGTCAGTTACAACCCTGTATAGGGTTTCTGAGGGGCGACTGGTGGTTTGAACCACAGACCTTACAGTTCAAACCAACTTTGCAGCCCATCGCATTATCCGTCAGCGCCACATCAAAGTCTGGATAAGAGGCAGCAATTGAAAATGCTGCTGGAGAGGCTTTCAGGATTCTGGTCCCAGGGACAGTTGGTAGCGATTCCATTTGCAAAACCAGGGCTGACCCTTGGGTCCGAGGTTCCTGCTGATGCCTCCCTTCTTGTCTTTCAGGTCAACGAGATCTATCACGATGAGTCCTTGGGAGCGCATATCAACGTCGTCCTTGTTCGGATCATCCTGCTAAGTCACTCGAAGGTGAGGAAGCACTGTAGGCCAGGCTGGCCATTTCAGACACACCAGGGTTCCTGCCCATCTACCAGGGAGTGGGACACTTGAATAAGACATGCCCCCTCCCCTTACAAAGTCTTTTTGATAACCAAAACCTCCCTATCTCCTCCCCACCTCACCATCCTGTGGTTCCTCTAAGACACTTGTGAGTTACCCTTTATGTCCCTACTTAATTCATCCTAACCTTCACTACCTTCCAGTCTTGAGTCTTGTCCACACCCTTCTCTTCATCTGTCACAAAGTTTCAGCATCAGTTGGGTCCTCTGCGTCTTCCAACCTCCTCTTCTTGTCAGACTTGGAATTATCTTTCCTAGCAGTGAGCTTGGGTCTCTGAAGCTGAGATAGCCATCTAGGGAGAATAACTTGAGATGGAAAGATAACAGGATGATGGGATGTGACACATTGCTAGAGGAAGTGTGAACTGGTACAGCTACTATGGAAAGTAGTGTGGTGGCTCTTCAAAACCTTAAACAACACTAGCAAGGTATGCTCACCATGGAATGGTCAATCATTCAGAATCAAAAGGGCAACCTTTACCTAAGGGCAAAGTTGAGAAGGGATGGTTAGGTGAGTTGAATGGAAATAGGAACCATAAAGAGGAAGCAGGAAAACTGTTGTTGCAGCAAGGGAATTGCAATCATTGAGATGAAACAAAGCATATAATTTGCTGAATATAAAACTGATGATTTTGTCTGTAAACATTCACGCAGTTCACAAGAAGAGGTTAAAAAAAAAAAAGTTAAACATAGAATTACTGTGTTGTTAAATGTCGTCAAGTTGTTTCTGACTCATAGCAACCCAGTGTAGGGTTTCTGAGGAACGGCTGGTGAGTTTGAGCTGCCAACCTGGCAGTTCAAACTAACCTTGCAATTCAGTGCTTATCCTCTAGTACCACACCAGGACTGTAAAATTGTTGTTGTTGTTGTTAAGTACCGTAGAGTCGGTTCCAACTCATAGTGACCCTGCACAGGGTTTCTGAGGCTGTAAATCTTTACAGGAGCACAACACCTCATCTTTCTCCCGTGAACTGCTGGTAGTTTCGAACTGCTGACCTTGAGGTTGGCAGCCCAACTCATAACCACTATGCTACCAGAGCTCCTTACTGATAGTGAAAAGGTTGTTTTTACCTTTTCACTATTGTAAATAATGTTGCAATAAACATTAGCATACAAATATCTGTTTGAGTCTCTGTTTTGAATTCTTTGGGGAATATACTTAGGAGAGGAATTGTTGAATCTTGTAATAGTAGTAGTAGTAGAAGTAGAATTATCAATAAGAATTCAAAACAGAGACTCAAACAGATACTTAGACACTAATGTTTATTGCAACATTATTTACAATAGACAAAAGATAAAAACAATCCAATGTCTATCAACAATGAATGGATAAATAAAATATGGCGTATATGCAGTGACGCCTGACCCAAGCCATAGTATTGTCAATAACCTCATATGTATGCAATAATTGGACAGTGAGTAAGGAAGATTGTAGAAGAATTTATACTTTTGAGTTATGGTGTTGGAGGAGAATATTGAAAGTGCTATGGGCTGCCAAAAGAACCAACAGATCTGTGTTGGAAGAAGTGCAGCCAGAGTGCACCTTGGAGGCCACGATGGCCAAACTTCGTCTCTCATACTTCAGACATATTGTCAGGAGGCACCAGTCTTTGGAGAAGGATATCACGTTTGGTAAGGTGGAGGGTCACAGAAAAAGAGGAAGACCCCCAGCGAGATGGATTGGCAAAGTGGCAGCATCAGTGGCATCAAGTGTGGTAACAATTGTGAGGCTGGCCCAGGACCAGGCATTGTTTAGTTCTGTTGTGCATAGGGTCACTATGAGTCAGTACTGACTCGATGGTACCTAACAACAACAACAAAAAGAAATGAAGGTCCGATACATGCTAGGATATAGATGAACCTTGAAAACATGCTGAGTGAATTGTCAGACTCAAAAGAACACATATTGTATGATTTCACTTATGTGAAATATACAGAATAGGCAAATGCATAGAGACCAAAGTTCATTAGTGGCTACCAGGTTCGGGGGTGGGGGACAAACGGAAAATTATTAGAAAGAACACAGAGTTTCTATTACAGGTGATGACAAACGTTTGGAAATAGAGAGGTGGTGGTTGCACAAATTGCATGTAACTGTTGTTGTTGTCAGGTGCCATCGAGTCGGAACCGACTCATAGCGACCCATGCACAGCAGAACGAAACAATGTCCAATCCTGGGCCAACCTCACTACCGCTGCCACACTTGAGTCCATCAATGATGCCACCTGGCTGATCCATCTCGTTGGGGGTCTTCCTCTTTTTCTCTGACCCTCCACCCTACCCAGCATGACATCCTTCTCCAACGATTGTTTCCTCCGGACAATATGTCCAAAGTATGAGAGATGAAGCTTAGCCATCCTGGCCTCCAAGGAGCACTCTGGCTGCACTTCTTCCAAAACACATCTATTGGTTCTTTTGGCAGTCCATGGCACTTTCAGTATTCTCCTCCAACACCACAACTCAAAGGCATCAACTCGTATCACTGAATTTTACACTTCAATATGCTTAAAATGGAAATTTTTAGTTCTATTTTAAGATAATAAAATAAATTTCAAGAAAGAGTAAGACGGGTATGGGATGAGATGCAGAGAGAGTTAAAGAGAAAGGAGTGAGCCCTGTGTGTGTTGAGCCCACTCTTGTGCCCAATGTTTTGGTATTGACCCATTACGTTTCCAGAACTAATGGTCTCCATTTTACAGGTAAGAACACTGAGGCCTAAAGTAATTCAAGGGATGCACGAGGAGAGCCAGCCAAGGGTATTCAACATCTCTAAAGTTAGGCGTCTTACCCAGATAGACTAATTCCTGAATCCATAATCTAACTATACCCAAGTGCATAGAAAATCAAATTGTAGGAAGATTAAGAATTTTGGGCATGCTAATTAGGAAATGGGGTTAAACTCCTCTACTAAGAGACAAAGATCTCAGTGCCAAAATATTAAAATCAAACTGCATACAACTTACTAGAAACACAACAGAAAACTGACAAGGAAGTGCTCATATCCAGAATGAATTCCAGGAACTCATCCCAAATTTGTGTGTACTCTCCTGATACAAGTAAAAGGTATCATTTTACGTGAATAAAGACAGCCACAGTGAAGAATATCAGTTATGGATCTCGATGTACCCCAAGTAGAAAGACTATAAGATATATAAAAGACAGCCATTTGTACAATTAGTGAACATATAACTATGGGAGTCTTTAATACCTTTTTCAAGGCCTGTAACAGATTAATTTTAAAAGGCACAGGGAGTTTTGAATAATACATTGTTATTAGCTGTCAGTCAATTCTGATTCATGGGGCCCCATGTGTACAGAATAGAATTGCTCTATAGGTTTTTCTCCATAGAGGGTGGTTGGGGAAGGGTCTGTGTTCTTCTCCCTTGCTGGCACTTACCTTTGCTATTGTTGGGCCTAAGAACTCTGCCACTTGCTTCATGGGAAACCTTCGATGCATACTTTCAGCCAAAGTGATGCTGTAGGTACATAGCCTTACCCACAGGCATGGCCCATACCCTCCTCTTCACCCAAGTGTCCAGGGCACTGGCATTTAGGTGCCACCTTATAGGGAAGTGTTTGGCTTTGTCCAGGCCTTGTTGTCCACATCCTGCTCACACTGGCAGAGCCACACTGTGAGTGGAGTGGACAATAGCCTTTGTCATCAGGATGCAGCCTGTTCGGTCAGCAGGGGCATTATAGGGACATATGCAGGTCCCGGCACATGCCTAGAGCCCATGGTCAGCAAGGAAGGCAGCTGAGTCTGCACACACTGCATCTTGGTGTCTGTGTTGAATGACTTGTTGTTAAGTGCCATCAAGTCGGTCTGACTCATAGTGACTGCATATAGAATTTCCAAGGAGCAGCTGGTGAGCTTGAACCGCCGACTTTGTGGTTCAAACCAACCTTGCAGTCCAGCGCATTAACCCCCAGTGCCGCACCCCTATTATTTGCTCTTCCTATTTCTAATACATCACAGATCAATGCTTTTGTAAAATCTATCAAAAATAATGATTTGATAAAGGGGGAACTAGTTCATCGTACAGTCCAGGAACAGAGGATCCTAGGACCATCAAGGAAGAAGAGCATGAGAGGAATGTGGGACCTATCCAGAGAAGCAGTGACACCAGAGATGGAGGCAGAGGTAATGACATGGAGAGATAGAGCAGCTGAGAACTCTAGACTCATGGAAAAAGAAATGCTGTGTGCTGGTGGCCAAGAGGCAGGCTTGCAGAATGTGTTCTTTGAATGTTTAAATTGTTATTTATATATTCCTAAGTGTTTTTGTGTACATCAAAACAAAAAAACAAACAAAAACAGAGGGAATAGAAGCAAATACTGTTAAATGATGATGCATGGAGGGGATTGTAATTATTGTAATGAAGCAAAATATGATAGAATGAGTGTAAACCCATGTTTTCACATGTAAACTATCACTCAATTCACAATAAAAACCTTTTTTTTTTTTTTAAGTTTTTATTTTGAACTGACTGATTGTTTACATGGGAGAACATCAGCTTTACACCATTGTTTCATTGCAATTATTACAATCTTCTTTGTGCATTCAACAGTATCTGCTTCCATTCCCTCCCTTTTTTTGGAGGGGGGATGTACACAAAAACACTCAGGAATATATAATAATTTAAACAACCAAAGGGCACATTCTGCAAGCCTGACCCTGGCCACAAACACCTAGTCCCTCTCTTTCCATGAATCTAGAGTCCTGATACGCTCCCAATCTCCATGTTCTCATCTCTGCCTCCATCTCTGGTGTTGCTGATTCTCTGGATAATGTCACACATTCCGCTCATGCTCTTCTCTCTTAATGGTCCTAGAGTCCTGTTTCTGAACTGTAAGATTAACGTCTACTCCTTTTTTACAAAACGTCTACCTCTACAATTGTGATAGCCGCAG